TAGGCGACATTTGTAACTGGTCACCATAGGTGCTCACCAGTACTACATTCCATTGCGTTACTTGTTAAACTTAATCCTTTTTTGGCCACCTCTTCTCACAAGTTTTGACATCTTTGTTGTGACACATTGCAAACATACACGATACACAATCCAGAGACAATGCAGGGTACATCGTCGAACAAGAACCTAGAAAAGAAGTCCGAGACTGCAAGTGTGCTAGATGGGAACCTCATGAGCAAAAGATCTTCATAATTGCCGTCGAGCATGTCACTGCTGAGGGACATCCTAGGGAAAATGCTTCTCGTCAACAAGTTGGGAGTGCATACGTGACTTGTTGAAAAAAAATGCCAGAAAGGACTGGACCATCACCCAGCTGAAAAACCATTGGGGCTCTATACGCACAGACCACAAACTACTGTTCGAGCTTCTACAAAGCACAAGAATCGCATGTGGTCTCTAGAAAATGGGGGCAAAATTGATGCACCGGACTGGTATGGAAGTAGAAAATTAAGATACGAACCGACGACAACCTGTAATATAGTTATTCTTCTTATAAACAATTTTGGTTCCAAACATGGCATGTTCGTTAATTGCTCCCTTGGCACATTGTAGGAGAACCCTCAGTATGGAAAGTTCAAGGACAATAATAGCACCGAAATTTACCACACATATAGCCGCCTATTTGGAGGTAGTTGTGATTCCATGATGTATGCACTGGCACCCACAAAGTTGTCTCAACGTGGGTTCGACTTGGGGTCGGACACTAACACATATGACTCGAATGATTAGTTACCTATCAATGTTGAGACTGCTGATTTGAGCGACAGCCTGACACAGGGAAGAATGAACTCTTCGATGAATGTTTCTCTTCTTCGAAGCGACGAGAAATGTAAAGGCAAACATGCTAAAGGGAAGTGGAAGAAGTTCGGTGCTAGGGAGATTTTCAAGTCGGCGGATAACCTAGCGTACGCATCGAGGAAAATGGCCTTGGTGATTCACTCAAAAGAAGAGGGTTGAATGACTCTCCATGAGTACATCGACTATTTGCTTTCGACAGGTCTAGTCACAGGATGAGCTCCACATGTTTGCTTTATGGTTCTTAAGGAATTTCAGCAATCGTGTAGCGTACAGTGCCGCTAAAACCCCAAAATTGAGGTTCAGTTGGATCTCTTATTGCTTCAAAAGTGACAAGATGACCAGTTCCACGAGCCGATAATCGCTTGGCAAATACATCTTATGTATGTCTCTATTTCACGTTTCATTTCTATACTCATCGTATGTATAGATTGTAGTAATGTCAACATGTTCCAGTACCTGTACGCGAGATTATCGTGATTTCCAATGTGCTACGAATGTTTTAGTGTTATCTACTTTGAAATTTCCTGTTTGTGACTGTCGTGCAAACTATTTAGAACCCCTTAATTACTAAAAACTCAAATATTAGCAACAGGTTGTATGCTATTCCTTTATTTTGAAATATGTCAACAGCTTTCGTACAGAGGATTTCGTGCATATTCCAAGGAATATTTTCCTTTTCATCCCCATTTTGCATGCATGGCTAGTGGAATCCATAATTGGTGGCATTGACTGAATTATCAATTGCGTGCGTACAGTTCCTGAGATTTGAGTATCAATTCTGCAGTGCTATATAGCAATCAATGAAGATACCCAGAATCAATCGAAGTTGCAGGTTGAATGTTTTGCACTTGACTCGAGAAAATGCATATTTACATTTAAAAAATTTATTCATTACTAATATTTTGCTAATATTTGCATCCATTTGATTTTGAACAGTCATTTTATCAATATTTTGCTCAAGACATTCATACGGACTTAGTCTATTTAATGAAGACAACGAATTCAAGTGATCAAAAGGAAAAAAACATACAACCAACATTGATCTCATTAATACAATTCGTTACATATAAATGAAATTGGATATCATTAGTTCAAACACATTCTATGTACACTAATAGGATTGGAGAAATTGCAAATGTAGGTTGTAATAAAATGCCTAATTGTATTGAAAAGTAAAAAATTTGTAGTAGATGTGATACTTTGTCGAAAAATTCTAACCAAATTGTAAACTATTACAAAAATTAAGGTTTTGGTAAAAGATGTAAGAAAGAGAGTACGATAGAGGAGGATAAAGAAAACAATTCAAATTTATTACGATTTGGGCCCTGTTCGGTAGGTGTGAAAATCATATTTTCAGTAAATTTTGTTAAAAGTTAATAAGTTGAGGATTTTGAGAAATATGTTATTAAAATGAATTTTTAACGTTGATTTAGATTTAAATTTAGATTTCAATCGATACCAAACAAGACTTATTCCAAGCCAAAACAATTTTTGAGGGTCTCATGATCTCCTATGCCCCCTTTGGGACCAGCCCGTGGATGTGAAATTCTGGACATAACTATGATACTGTGCGATCTAACAATTATGAATTGCAAAAACTACATTATTAGCAAAAGCCTGTCATGCAATTTCCATTATTTGTGAATATGTTAATAGCTTTTGTAAAGACAAGATTTCCTGCCAATTGTAGGGAATATTTTCCTTTTTCATCCCCTCTTGCATGCGTGACTAGTGGAAGCCATAATTTGTGGCATTAGCTACATTACCAATTGCTTGCGTATAGTTCGAGAGCCATGTGTACAAAATCTGAAGTGCTATTTGGCAATCAATGATGGTGCCATATTCAAGCAAAGTTACGGGTCGAATTACGTGCTCCCACATGTAAAGAATTTTTTCGCTTCCCGTGGTGTCAATACGACAAGATGACGGACACATCCAGTCTGCATACGTCCTCCGAGATCGATTGTGACCTCATGACCAATACCAGTTCGGATGACGGTTCGGACGACAACATGCCAAAGCAGATGGAGGCTGATATGTGGACATGGCTACAATACTGTCGAATCGCTAAGCGGATGGTGCGCCAATACTTCCAACCAAATAGGGACCACTGTCACTTGTTTCCTACGTCACGAAGCGGACATATTTTCATGTTACAGAATATGCATGTGTATCTGCAAACATGTTTCCAGGAGTTCAGAATGTATTCATCCATGTTCAGACACTTTACACATATTTTTAGAGACCAATATGGCTTGGAAAGCAGTACACACACACACACACACATATATATATGAGCAGGTTGGTATGTTTTTGTGCATACTGGGATGGAAAGGGTTATCTACAGGTCCAAATGCTGTTCAAACATTCACTGCAGATCATTGCCCATTATTTCAAGTGAGTGCTTCTTGCAGTAGACATGATCTGACCTCATGACAACTACAACCACGGCGCGACACATCATGACCCCGATCCGGAGTGATACCCATTTTTTCATGTATCTATATGTTATACAACATCGTGTCAGTCGACAATCTTATTCGTCCACTTATTATGAGTCACTAAAAAGTGTAGAATTTAATGTCATAGAATTGCATATGTGCTATTGACGGGACTCATGTGCGTGCAGTGCTGCCACGACGTAAAAGGATTAACTTCATAGCAAAAAAAAAATGAATGCCCACACAAAACGTATTGGCTGCTTGTAATTTCAACTTGTGCTTCACATTCATATTGCTCGTAACACAGGGGACACGCGCGACAGTCGTATACTGGCTCGAGCTATGCATGGTCCGGACATACTTTTTTGCAACCGGCACTAGGGAAATACAACTTGGTAGACCTTGGGTTTGCACATAGGTCGGGTTACATGGCACCTTACAAAGGATTAGATGTACATTACTACTTTCCGAAATTTCGCGCTAACAGTGGTGGCAGACGTCGATTTCGAAATGCACGCAAAAGATTTAACTTCCATCACTCGTCCTGTTGTATCATTATTGAGTGAGCATTCGGAGTTTAGAAGAAGAGATGGAAAATACTCGATAGAATGCCAAGTTATACATTTCGAGCGCAAACCGCTGTGGTCGTGGCAGTAATGGGAGTCCATAACTTTTTAAGACGACATAGACAGCTCGATGAAGCCTTCCGCAAGGCCGATGAAGTATATGACGATGAAGTCAAAGTGGACTTACTTGATGAGGACGACAAAACTGCAGTGGAAGAAGATGCAGTTTCAGACGATAACGTGACGTGGCACCAATCACGAGATTACATAGCGCATATAGTACGTTGACTATTTGAACGGGTTGGGGTGATAGTACGCGTAATGAAACCTATTATTACAAATTCATTTGGGCTAGTATTTTTGAATTTTAATTTATGGTATGGTGTGTAATATCTTTCGGATTAGTAATAAAAGGAACGTCCAATGAATGTCTCGGAGAGATTGTCGTTGTATTATAAACCGGACACACAAATCGGAATGTACACGTTACCCATCATATTTCATTGCTAAGGGCATTAACGTCAAAATGTCTTTTGTATTAAAATAGTGTCTAGTCAATATTCAATTGGAATATATGTGTCAGGTCTCTTGCATGCATGTGCTATGTGGGACCCAGTGGCCCACGACTGTTGACTAAAGAAAATGGAAATAATGGAAAGTAACGAGACTCAAACGCAGGCTTAATATATAATCAAATAGACCTTGACTTGGAACAAAAAGTATGGATATGGGCCATCATACCTACGATTATATAATCAAATAGACCTTGACGTGGAACAAAAAGTATAGATATGGGCCATCTTTCGTTGTATTATAAACCGGACACACAAATCGGAATGTACACGTTACCCATCATATTTCATTGCTAAGGGCATTAACGTCAAAATGTCTTTTGTATTAAAATAGTGTCTACTCAATATTCAATTGGAATATATGTGTCAGGTCTCTTGCATGCATGTGCTATGTGGGACCCAGTGGCCCACGACTGTTGACTAAAGAAAATGGAAATAATGGAAAGTAACGAGACTCAAACGCAGGCTTAATATATAATCAAATAGACCTTGACTTGGAACAAAAAGTATGGATATGGGCCATCATACCTACGATTATATAATCAAATAGACCTTGACGTGGAACAAAAAGTATAGATATGGGCCATCTTACCTACCATTATGGTTGACTCGTATCCCGCCACTTCTTGATTTTCTCCGTCACACTCTTCCTCTCTGTTCATAGGATGCCTATGCTTCTCACTGCCCGTCGGTCCGCCCCAATCCGCCTCCACACCTGGTGTTCAATTATCTCGAGACCCTCTTTCTCGATTCAGCAACCCTTTTCATTCCTTTCTCCCTACCCAAAGCCTCAATTTCTGTTTAAAAATATCTTCAATTTTCGAAGAATTTCGACTCGGGCATTCGATATAGAGAGAAATGAAGTTGCGTCGGATCAAGATGAGAAAGTTGAAGTGGGAAGCCAGTTGGGGGATAGTAATGATAATGGAAGCATTGGGGGATGTAATGATGATACGTATCCGAGTGGGGAGTTTGTGTTCAGGGAGTATGACCTGTGGGATAGTTTTGCAGTGAAGCTTAAGATGGTATTTGCACTTCCCTGGGAGAGGGTGAAGAAGGGCAGTGTTCTTACCATGAAAATACGCGGACAGGTTAATAACTTTTATTTCTCCCAAGTTTACTTTGCTAGTATTATTATACAAAACCTCTTGAATATAGATAATCGCTCGGTGCCATAAAGAGATTAAGAAAATTTAGTTAATAAAGATGAAATAATAAATATTATTATTATTTTTCCTAATATACCCTGCATCATGCAATTAATATTTAAGGCAATTAAATTATATTTATGATAATAAAGTACATATTAGGAAACTAATATATTATAAATACTCTCTCAAATAAGAAACATGACTATAATTTGAAAGAGATGAAAAAAGAAAACATGAGTATCTTTATGCGACGGAGGAGTATTTTATTTGAATTTTTATTTGATTGTCATAATTTTAGTAACTTTATTCTCTGTGATTGAAGTAAAAATCTTATTTTGCAAAAAAAAAAAAAAAAAAAAAAA